GCAGGGAGACCGATGCGGGGCTTGATCCCAGGACCCTGGGATCATGACCTGAGCCGAAGGCAGCCACTTAACGACTAAGCCACCCAGGCGCCCCTAAACATTACTTCTTGCATAATCATTTGTTTTATGTTGCTATTCCCCACTAGGACAAACTGAGTTAACACATGTGAAGCATTTTGAATAGTGAGTACCTGACATATAGTAAATACTCAATGTATTAGTCATTATTTTTATCTATTTTTTATCTTGTGCCAGTTATCCACTGACAGGTTAGTATTTTGAACACAAATTTGGCATGTTCTTTCTACTGCGTCATAACATAACTTTCTCAGACTGTAAGAATAGTGGAAATAGAAATCTGAAAAATAAGTTTGGCATTTTTTTTTACAAGTTAATTCTGTTAACATCTACTCCAAGAAGCTGTCAGAATTGTCATGTTTTACATGTCTTTGAAAAGTAAAAAACCTATTTTTTATTTCTGGGAGTAGAAACTAAAAATTCTGCTTTAGCAGTATCATTTAGTCCCCCATTTAATCCTTGTCACCAATAGTGTTGTCAAAAAACTTTACTTTGTTATTATCTAAGGTATTAATGACAATGTCATCTGTAACCTGATAACTAAGAGTATTTAAAATAACTTTGTACATTTCTTTTTATAGACCATTTAATTTGGCAGAACGGAAAGCTAATGCCCATTCTGTAGTAGAATGTGATCATGTACGAAAAGAAGTTAGTGTACGAACTGGAGGATTGGCTGACAAGAGCTCAAGGAAAACATATACTTTTGATATGGTACCTATTTCTTTTTTTTTTTTTTAAGATTTTATTTATTTAATAGAGAGCATGTGCGGGAGAGTAGGGTAGGAGCAGAGAGAGAGGAACAAGCAGACTCGTGCTGAGTGCAGAGCCCAACATGGGGCTCGATCTCACCACCCCGAGATCAGAACATAAGCCAATATCAAGAGTCAGATGCCCAACCGGCTGAGCCACCCAGGTGCTCCTGGTACCTATTTCTTAAAATGCTGCTACTTTTATTATTTATTTTATTATTTACTATGTAAATAATTATTTATTTTTTATTTACTTTATTCTTTTTTTATTTACTATGTAAAGTTATTCTCAGATACACATTTCCTCTAGGTTCTAGTGTACGATTCCAAGTTTCAGTTGACTGAG